GCATCATCACACCTATGTGTTCAAGTCCTCATGTGGCATCACAACTTCTAGCAAAAATGTATGCAAATTAATACTACTGCTCATTACTATGCACTGTTATACTGGTACATATAAACATACTAGTGCTGTCAAACGATTAATCGTGATTAATCGCATCCAAAATAAAAGTTTTTGTTTATTTAATATGTGCGTGTACTGTGTATATTTATTATGTACATATAAATACACACACATACAGTATATATTTTGAAAATATTTACATGCATATATTTATTTTATATATAAATAAATATATTTAATATACAAATATAATTTTTTTTTTAAAGGTATACATGCATGTGTGTGTATTTATATAAACATAATAAATATACACAGTACACACACATATATTATGTAAACAAAAGAAAATATTTACATGCATATATTTATTTTATATATAAATAAATATATTTAATATACAAATATAATTTTTTTTTTAAAGGTATACATGCATGTGTGTGTATTTATATAAACATAATAAATATACACAGTACACACACATATATTATGTAAACAAAAACTTTTATTTTAGATGCGATTAATCGCGATTAATCGTTTGACAGCACTAAACAATACACATATAAACATACGTAAATGCACAACCGGTAAAAAAGTTTTTTTAATTTTTTTATGTTATGTTATTGAAAGGAGTCTCTTTTGCTTACCAAAGCTACATTTATTTGATTAATTCAAATATTGTTGTAATTAAAAACAACTGTTTTCTACTGGAATATAAAAATGCTATTTATTCCTATGATGCAAAGCTGAATTTTCAGCATCATTACTCCAGTCTTTAATGTCGCATGGTAATTTTTTTTATCAATTATTGATGATCAATTATTAGTAATGGTCCTTATTACTTTCAATGTTTGCTGCTTAATAATTTTGTGGAAAAAAGTGAAACTTTTTTTCAGAATTCCTTGATAAATATAAACAGCTAAAGAACAGCATTTATTCGAAATATATATTTTTTTGCAACATATTAAATGTCTTTTGTTGTTGCTTTTTCATCAATTAATTTGATTGAATTTAATTTAATGTTATTATTATTACTTTAAATTCTACTTAACCCAAAAATTTTGAAAAAAAAAAACCAACAACAACATGAAACATTTTTTAAAAAGAGAGAAAACTATTTTCAACATCAAAAATTATTTTCAACTAAACAACAACTATTTTCAAAGAGAAACTTTTTTTTTTTTTTATTCTAATAACATTATTTTACTGTATTTTTGTAGATCAAATAAATGCAGCCTTGGTGAGTAGAAGAGATGCGAAAAATTAATTAATTATTCAAAACGTTTTACCATATAATTATTCCTTGTGTTCATGCCTCTTATTTTTTAACTAGATTTTTTTTTTACTGTATTTTACATTTATGCATTTGCACATTTTTTTTCTAAGCAACTTATATTGCACTAATTCTGCACATTTTATTATGTACAATGCATTTCCTGAGAAACATCCTTTACTGTTTGAGCCACAGAAATACTTCTTTACTTTCTTTATTTCACTTCTTCTATTAAACATTTTAATCTACTGGGCAACAATGGCTAATACTAGCTGCCTGTGACTAACAATAACAAGTTGGTTCACAAAGTAGACGTCTAGTTGTTAAAAAAAGAGAAAAGCTTTGATATGTCCCAACCCAGTTGCATTTTACAAGACAACATTTCAATCCAGGAAAGAACATTGTTCTTGTCAAAGCATTTCAAGGGGTCTTTAATTAAGAGTAAATTAAGCTCGTTTTCCTTATTCATCGTAGATAAACGCACCAGAAACACAGTCTGTTTTAAGTAACAGTGTTATGGTGTAAATAGCATGATGCTTTGACCCTGTGGTCGATCTTACCTTCCGTGATCGTGTCCTTCACGAGACCTCTTCCATAATGCTGGTCATAGGTGTCAAAGCTGTCTAAGCCAACTTTATACACCTAAAAGACAGCAAGAAACATTTTAAGCTAGAGTTGAATATGAATAGTGATGAGGGAGCCAATGTAATATCGTACTGTGTAATTTGGGTTTATTTTGAGAGGGGCATTAAGTTCCTTTCTATATCATCCAAATCAACGGCACAATTATGAGTAATGGTTCTGTTTGCTTGGTGGTTATGTAAATCGGCTCTTTTCATCCGTCTGTTTTTCCGTACAGGCTGGCAGAGAGCTAAACCCCTGGGACGGCCCGAGACTGAGAATTTACATACCGTCTGCTCCCCATCAATATTTCACCAAGAAACTGGACCTCGCTGCCCTTTCTATGTGCAATTTTAGACAAATCATTTTCCTTAAACTAATGAACTGTGCTTCTTTGACTTCAGCTGCCCTTTGAGCCAAGAGCGGTAAAACAAACAAGACAATAAAGTCTCTATAACATAGAAATTGGACTCCTAAGCTGTGCCAAGTTCAATCAATGGGAAATACATAAAGGATTGACATTTCAAATAAAATAAGAACAGATGTATTGTTTAAAAAAAAAAAAACATGTATTAATGCACTACCCCAAAAGCTTCAATCAATGAATCAATTCTGTTTATTTCAGTCCTTACAGACAACTTTTCACAATAAATAAAAGAAATGAACATAACTTCCCAAAAAGGTGTAGGCAGAAGCCTTGCTTATTATGCCTACCCTTTATACATATTTAACCGATGAACGTCACTTTTCACTAGATTTGATAATATAAGATAAAAAAGCTTCTTATTTTGCTGAACATTATAATGTGGTTTTATAATGGAATTTTTCAATTCATGAGTAAAATAAGGTCTGTGTTAAACATAACTTGATAATACTTGAATGTTTTGTTCTACAACATAAACTGCACACACTCCCACCCCAAAAATTCTTGTGTAGAAAAATGCTTTAGTTTTTTTTTAAATTAATCATATCTTCAAAAATGTGTGTTTTCCGTTATAGGTGTGTGTAATTTACACTGTAGAGCAAAACGTTAAAGTATCGTTAAGTTATGTTTACCACAGACCTTATTTTACTCATAAATTGAAAAAACCTCATTATAAACCCCAATATGAAAATCTCGAGGGAACCCATGGTGAATTAGTCTTCCGGGTTTTGATGTCATCCCTGCAGCACTCTATTAACACAAGCTCCACACAGCTACAACTGAGCTCTCTCTCGTTCTAATAACTGCATTAGAGTGCATTATCAGTGGCTCAAGCCTCTATATAGCTCTAAAATGACATTATGGAATTAGCAACGGAGGCTTGAGATGAGATGCATAAGAAATTAGTCCTAAGAGCATTTTAAGGACAAAAACCTGACAAATGTCTTGAAATACATCATCTGAAAAAATTTCTTAAGGTGTGGTAACTTTAGTAAGAGAGGAATAATTGACTCCGGTCCGTTGAATTATTAGAAAAATAATGTACATTATTTGTGCATTACACATTATTTTATTAAAGGGGCGATGCACAGACACATCTTACCTCACTCTTGCATGCGATACGATCAGAAAGGTTTTACATTAGATATTTATATCCATGTACAAATGAAGAAAGGCAATTCATATAAAGCCTGTTCTCAGAGGACTATTATCCTCTGAGATAATAAAGAACGACACGGCTCTGCATAAGTGAAGGGTGTTGAGTAAACCTCATCCATCATGAGCTGATGATAAAGAGTTTAGAGGTCTCCACCCATGTTTCTCAAGAGAGAAGCAAAAGACCCTGAGGATGCTGGGAGAGGCCACAGCGTGATAAGCTCATCCTGTCCGATGGCACAGATATACAAACATATCCTTCTCTCTCTCTCTCTCCCACACACACACACACACACACACACACACACACACACACTGGTATTCCTATCATTATAGGGACATTCCATCAGTATAATGGTTTTTATACTGTACAAACTGTATTTTCGGTAACACTTTAGATAGGGAACACATATTCACTATTAACTAAGCATTTTCCCTCAATAAACTCCTGATTTGCTGCTCATTAATAGTTAGTAAGGTAGTTGTTATGTTTAGGTATGGGGTTGGATTAAGGGATCTAAAATAAGGCATTAATATGTGCTTTATAGATACTAATAAACAGCCAATATGCTAGTAATACGCATGCTAATAAGCAACTAGTTAATGGTGAGAAGTGTATCTTAAAATAATGTGTTACTGTTAGGGTTGGGTATCGTTCACATTTTAACCGGTACGGTACCTGAATTTCGGTGCCGGTACAACCCTACCCCTTCTTTTAAAATGGTTTAGTGAAATATATACACTACTGGTTAAAAGTTTGGAATAATGAAGTTTATTTATTATTATTATTATTATTGAAAGCTGTTTTTGTCCAACAAGGCTGCATTTATTTGAACAAAAATGCAGTAAAAACAGTAATACTATGAAATTATTATTATATTGCAAAATAAAACATCTCTTATTATTATCAATATTGGAAACAGCATTTACCACCTAATATTTTTTGTGGAAACCATTATACTTTTAGTTTTCCAGGATTCTTTGATAAATAGAAAGTTAAAAAGAACAGCATTTATTTTTGTGAAAAAATAAGTCCAAAAGTCTTAATTTCAACATTTTGAACAATAGGGCCCTACAAACTTTTTCTTTCTTTCTTTTTTTCCCCCCCCAGAAATTCTTGTTTTAATTTTTCTGAAAATCAAGTTAAAAAGAACAGCATTTATTTGAAAAAATATATATTTTTTACATTATAAATGTATTTACTGTCACTGTTTATCATTGTAATGCATTCTTGTTAAATAATTTTTTTATTATTAATGGCGGTATATCATGGTTTTGACAAAAAAAATTAAGCTGCAAAAAATAAGAGGTAGAAAGCAGCAAATCAGCATAATCAAATCAGCAACTTTGCATCACAGGAATAAATTACATTTTAAAATATATTAAAATAGACTATTATTACATGATAATTAGCATACACAATAATTAGTACATAATTATTAAAAGCCACTTTGTTTTAGCAATCTGGTGTTTTTCTTCTAATTTTGAACGAGGGTTATCCGTTTTGTCAGTTTTGCCAGAGAACTGGTAAACCCGGACATATTCTCCAGAACAAACTGAGGTTTACTGTTGAAATTAATACATGGAAGAAAAAGTGTGTGATTATTCCTTTAAAACATTTTTAATAGGCTAATTTATTATTTTTTTTCTACAATTAAGTGATTAATCTGGTTGTAATATTTATTTTTATCATTTAATTGTTCTATTTAAATTTGATAGAAAATTGAATATTTAAAGATGTACATTATACTGTACAAAAGTAATACAAGAGTAATATATTTCTGTTACATGTTAAACCGTACTTTTGT